TTATATTTAATAGAATTGAACTATTACTAAAAATATCAAAAATTTTTGTGCCCCATACACTAAAATATATATATATATATAATATATATTATATAATAATAATAATAATAATTTAATGAATGAAATGCCTGATAAAAGGATTATTTTGATAGAATAATTCATGAAAATAAAGTTTTTCTTTCATTTAATAATTTCAATTTTTAAAATTTATTAAATTATTGCTAATAATATATATATTATTAATTAATAAAATTATTGATCATATTAATTTTCTATTTTATTTTAATATTAAGAACTTTAATTACTTTATCTTCTCATTCATGAATAATTATTTGAATAATATTAGAAATTAATTTAATAAGATTTATTCCTATTATTATATTATCAAAAATAATTAATAATCATACATTTTTATTTAAATATTTCATTGTACAAACTATTAGTTCATCAAGATTCTTAATTACAATCACTTTAATATGAATTAATGATTATAGATTAAATATTTTTAATACAAACTTTATAGAAATTATATTAAGATTATCTATAATTTTAAAAATAGGATTATATCCTTTTCACCTATGATATATCGAAATTATATTAAACTTACCATGAATAATATTTTTTTTAATATCAACTTGACAAAAAATTATTCCCTTAACAATTATTTCTTTTTTTAATGAAAATACAATTATTTATATAACAATTATTATTTCTTCAATAATTAGATCAATTCAAGGAATTTATCAAAACAACCTTCGCAAAATTTTTGCATTCTCATCAATTAACCAAACCAGATGATTAACCATTAACTCTAATATATCTATTTATCTAATAATTATATATATATTAATATATATAATAATTTTATTTTCTATTATTAATATACTTAATGTAAATAATTTCTATTATATTAATAATCTTTATTTATTAAATAATTATCATTATTTAATAAAATTATTTTTATTTTTAAATATTTTATCATTAGCTGGACTACCTCCTTTTATAGGATTTATTACAAAAATTATTTCAATTAAATTTTTAATTTTTAATAAAATATATTTAATTACCTCCATTCTAATTATCTCTTCATTAATAACACTCTTTTTCTATTTACGATTAACTTATACTTCAATAATTTTAATTAAATCAAAATTTAACCCTTTAATAATAAAAAAATATTCAAAAGATTTTTCTTATAAATCATATTTTTTTAATAAATTAAATTTTATAATAATTATAATCACTATTTTAAGATATTTTTCTTTAATTATTATAACCTTATTTGATTTATACTAAAGATTTTAAGTTAAAGTTTAAACTATTAACCTTCAAAGTTAATTATAATATAAAGGATTTATTAAATCTTAGTATACACAAATTGTACTTCTTTAAATTTGCAATTTAAAATTTTTATAAACTACAAGATTAAATTAAAATTTTAATAGTAAAAATATTAATTTTATAAATAAATTTACAATTTATCGCCTAACCTTCAGCCATACTATCTTTTTAATTTTATTTATGTAATCCTATTTAAATTAATTTTATTTAAATGCAAAAATGACTTTTTTCTACAAATCACAAAAATATTGGAATTTTATATTTTATCTTTGGTATTTGGGCAGGAATATTAGGAACATCTTTAAGATTAATTATTCGAGCTGAATTAGGAACCCCAGGACCATTAATCAATAATGATCAAATTTATAATTCAATTGTAACTGCACATGCTTTTATTATAATTTTCTTTATAATTATACCAATTATAATTGGAGGATTTGGTAACTGATTAATTCCTTTAATACTTGGAGCTCCTGATATAGCATTTCCTCGAATAAATAATATAAGATTTTGATTACTCCCCCCATCTTTAACATTACTACTAATTAGTAGAGTAATTAATCAAGGAGTAGGAACAGGATGAACAGTATACCCCCCATTATCAAATAATCTCTATCATAGAGGACCATCAGTAGATTTAGCTATTTTTTCTTTACATTTAGCAGGAATATCTTCAATTATAGGTGCAATTAATTTTATTTCAACTATTATTAATATACGACCACTAGGATTAAATTTAGATCAAATATCTTTATTTAGATGAGCTGTAGGAATTACAGCTATTTTACTACTATTATCTCTTCCTGTCTTAGCAGGAGCTATCACTATACTTTTAACAGATCGAAATTTAAATACTACATTTTTTGACCCTGCAGGAGGTGGAGATCCAATTTTATACCAACACTTATTTTGATTTTTTGGACATCCAGAAGTTTATATTTTAATCTTACCTGGATTTGGTATAATTTCCCATATAATTTTTTCAGAAACCGGAAAAAAAGAAACCTTTGGTATATTAGGAATAATCTATGCAATAACAGCAATTGGAATTTTAGGATTTGTAGTTTGAGCACATCATATATTTACAGTAGGTATAGATGTAGATACTCGAGCATATTTTACATCTGCAACATTAATTATTGCAGTACCCACTGGTATTAAAGTATTTAGTTGATTAGCAACCTTACATGGTTTTAAATTTAATAATTCCCCAACAATATTATGATCAATTGGATTTATTTTTTTATTTACTTTAGGAGGTTTAACAGGAATTACTTTAGCAAATTCATCAATTGATATTATTTTACACGACACATATTATGTAGTTGCTCATTTTCATTATGTACTATCTATAGGAGCAGTATTTGCTATCATAGGTGGATTTATTCATTGATACCCTTTAATTACAGGATTAACATTAAATCCTTTTTGATTAAATAACCAATTTATATTAATATTTATTGGTGTCAATACTACATTTTTTCCTCAACATTTTTTAGGATTATCAGGAATACCACGACGATATTCAGACTATCCTGATGCCTTTTTATCTTGAAATATTATCTCATCAATTGGATCATTAATCTCTTTAATAAGAATTATAATATTTATTTTTATCTTATGAGAATCATTAATTTCTAACCGACAAATCATTTTTAATGAAAATATAATTTCATCAATCGAATGATTACAAAAATTTCCACCTATGGAACATAGATATACAGAATTACCAATTCTAATTAAATTCTAATATGGCAGATTAGTGCCTTAGATTTAAACTCTAAATATAAAATTAATTTAATTTTTATTAGAAATGTGTACATGATCTATAATTTCCCTTCAAGACGCCAACTCCCCTTCAATAGAACACCTTACTATATTTCATGATTATATTTTAATAATTAATATTTTGATTACTATAATAGTAGTATATATCATTTCATCTATTTCTTTAAATAAAATTATTAATCGAACATTAATACAAAATCAATTAATTGAATTAATTTGAACTTTTATTCCAATAATTATTTTAATTTTTATAGCATTCCCATCTATTAAAATTCTCTATTTAATGGATGAAATTTTTTCTCCTATAATAACAATTAAATGTATAGCTCATCAATGATATTGAAGATATGAATATTCAGACTTTAATAACATTGAATTTGATTCTTTTATAATTCCCACTGAAGAACTAAATAAAAATGAATTCCGATTATTAGAAGTAAGAAATCGTATAATCATTCCCTTAAATACACAAATTCGGTTATTAATCTCATCGGTTGATGTAATTCATTCATGAACAATTCCCTCTTTAGGAATTAAGATCGACGCAACTCCAGGTCGTATCAACCAAACTAACCTTATAACAATCCGACCTGGATTATTTTATGGTCAGTGCTCTGAAATTTGCGGAGCAAATCACAGATTTATACCAATTATTGTAGAATCAACCAATATTAAATCTTTTATTTCATGAATTAAAAAATTTAATTAATAATTAATAATTTTATTATATTATTCATTAGATGACTGAAAGTAAGTACTGGTCTCTTAAACCATTTTATAGTAAATTAACAATTACTTCTAATGAAATAATTTTTTATTTTAAAAGTTAGTTAAATAAATATAACATTAAATTGTCAATTTAAAATAATTTTATATAAAATACTTTTAAATTCCACAAATATCCCCAATAAATTGAATATTATTATTAACTATATTTACAATAATTTTTATTGTATGCATCTCTTTAATATACTTTATTTATTTACCTAATAATTTAATTTCCAATTCAAATGATAATAAAATTATCTCATATAATTCTAAAAATAAATTCCTAACCTGAAAATGATAACAAATCTATTTTCAATCTTTGATCCAGCAACTACAATCTTTACATTACCATTAAATTGAATAAGATCATTTATAAGATTAATTATTTTACCATATACATTCTGACTAATTCCTTCACGAACTAATATAATATGAATTCAATTAACAAACTTTATTAATAAAGAATTAAAAATTTTAATCAATAAAAACGCTAAAGGAAGAAATATTATTTTTACAACTATTTTCATATTTATTATAATTAATAATTTTATAGGATTATTCCCATATATTTTTACAAGATCAAGACATATATCAATAACTTTAAGATTATCTCTTCCTTTATGAATATCTTTAATAATTTTTGGATGAATAAAATTTTATAATAACATATTTGCCCATATAGTTCCAATAGGAACACCATCCATTTTAATACCTTTTATAGTTATAATTGAATCAATTAGAAATTTAATTCGACCAGGTACATTAGCAATTCGATTAGCAGCAAATATAATTGCAGGACATTTACTTATTACACTAATTAGATCTACTGGACCTTCTTCAAGAACAATTTTAATTAGCTTTATAGTATTAGCACAAATTTTACTTCTATCTTTAGAAAGAGCTGTAGCTATTATCCAAGCCTATGTTTTTTCTATCTTAAGTACTTTATATTCAAGAGAAATTAAATAAAATATAAATTTTATACAAATGTCAATAAATAATCACCCTTTTCATATAGTAGAAAAAAGACCTTGACCTTTGACTTCTTCATTAGGAATAATTATTATAACTAGAGGATTCATTAAATGATTCCATTATAAAATCTTATTAATATTTTTACTAGGAATTTTAATTATAATTTTATCATCATACCAATGATGACGTGATGTAACACGTGAATCAACATTTCAAGGACTCCATTCAAAAGAAGTATATATAAATATAAACTGAGGAATAATTTTATTTATCACATCTGAAGTATTTTTCTTTTTATCATTTTTTTGAGCATACTTCCATGCATCTCTTTCTCCAAATATTGAAATTGGAAGAATATGACCACCAATTGGAATTATCCCATTTAACCCATATCATATTCCTTTATTAAACACTATTATTTTAATTTCATCTGGAGCGAGAATTACATGATCTCACCATAGATTAATTAATAAAAATTTTAAACAAAGAATAATTAGATTAACTACAACAATTATTCTAGGAATCTATTTTAGAATTTTACAAAAATATGAATATAACGATGCATATTTTACTATTGCAGACTCCATTTATGGATCAACATTTTACATAGCAACAGGATTTCATGGAATACATGTATTAATCGGAACTATATTTTTAATAGTATGTTTAATTCGACTTAAAAATAATCATTTTTCTAAAAATCATCATTTTGGTTTTGAAGCTGCCTCTTGATATTGACACTTTGTTGATATTGTATGACTATTCCTATATATTTCAATTTATTGATGAAGATTTAATTAATTTAAACTATAATTAATATTATTTATATAATATATAAAAGTATATTTAACTTCCAATTAAAAAGTCTGAAATTTATTCAGTATAAATAATTTTTATAATCATAAATTTATTTACTATTTGTAGGTTAATAACAATTATTATAATTATAATAAATATTATTATTTCAAAAAAAAAATATTCTGATCGAGAAAAATCATCTCCATTTGAATGTGGATTTGACCCTCTATCATCACCACGAACACCATTTTCCTTACGATTCTACTTAATTAGAATTATTTTCTTAATTTTCGATATTGAAATTGTTATCTTATTCCCTATTATCCCATCTATGTGATTTAGAAACCCATTAATTTGAATTTTTACATTCTTAATATTCAGATTTTTATTAATTTGAGGAGTATTTATTGAATGAAATGATGGATCCTTATTTTGAATAAAATAAAAGGATTATAATTTATATAAAATATTTGAATTGCAATCAAAAATTACTAATTACTAGTTAATCTTTTTTATATAGTATATACCCATTACATTCAATTTCGACTTGAAATAAAATATATTAAATATTTATTTAATTGAAACCAAATCAGAGGTAAATTATTGTTAATAATTTCATTGAAATAAAATTTCCAATTAAGGAAATAAGATTTTTTACTCAAATTTAAACTTCTAATTTAAAATTTTTATGGATAAATCCATTTTTATTTCTTATTATTTTATTTTATATAGTTTAATTAAAACATTATATTTTCAATATAAAAAAAGTAAATTTATTATACTTATAAAATTTTAATTATTTAAAGATTATATAAAAATCACCTTAATATCTTCAATATTAAACTCTCAATTTTAAGCTATTTAAATAAAATTCAAACTAAATATAAAATAATAAAATTACAAATAAAACATAAAAATAAATAAATATAATTAATTTAAACGAATTAATATAAAAATAATCAACATTCTTAACAAAATACTTTATTTTTAATAAAATATTCATATATATATATTCACCTCATATCTTTTCATTTAAAATATATAACTTTCCCGAAAATCTAAAAATTAATCCCAACATATTATAAAATAAATCAAATAAAAATCATATTTTATTAAAAAAATTTTTTAAAATCATTAAATGATTACAAAAATAAAAATTTAAATAAAAAATAAATAAACCAATTATTAAACCCAAAAATCTAAAAAATAAAACTATTAATTTTAATATCTTAGGTAAAACAATAAAATTAATATTAAAAAATATCAAACTATATAAAAACTTCCCCCTAATTACAGATATAATTAATATAAAAATTATTCTAAAATTTATATAAAAATTTTCATCCTTTAATCTAAAACAACTAGATATTTTTATTTCTATAAACAATCTATATAAAAATATACGAAGAGTGTAGGAAACTGTTAACCCAATAGAAATATAAAATAAAAATATAATAATTAATCTTTCTCCTATAAATATCAATTGTTCTAAAATTAAATCCTTAGAATAAAACCCAGCCAAAAAAGGTATACCTATTAATCTTAAATTAGCTACATTAAAACATATTATTGTATAAGGCATAATATAAACTATAGACCCCATAAAACGAATATCTTGAAAATTTTTTATTGAATGAATAATTACACCTGCACACATAAATAATAAAGCCTTAAATATTGCATGTGTTAATAAATGTAAATAAGCTAATTTCACACCACCCAAAGATAAAATAGCTATCATTAAACCTAATTGACTTAAAGTAGAAAGAGCAATGATTTTTTTTAAATCATACTCTCAATTAGCTCTCACCCCCGCTATAAATATAGTCAAAACAGACAAAATTAAAATTAACTCATTCAATCCCCTTATTATTAATAAATCATTAAATCGAATAACCAAATAAACTCCAGCAGTAACTAAAGTAGAAGAATGAACTAAAGAAGAAATAGGAGTTGGTGCAGCTATTGCCGCAGGCAATCAAGAAGAAAACGGAATTTGAGCTCTCTTAGTAAAAGCTGCTAAACAAACTAATATAATAACTAAAAAATCTACTCAATTATATAACATTAAATTTCATGAACCCATATAATATATAATTCTTAATGACATCATTAACCCTGTATCCCCAAATCGATTTATTAAAACAGTCAATATAGCTGCATTATAAGACTTAATATTCTGATAATAAGCTACTAAACAATAAGAAATTAATCCTAACCCATCTCAACCTAATAAAATCCTAATTAGATTAGGACTTATAATTATTAATAATATAGAAAAAACAAATAATAAAATTAATATAATAAATCGATTAAATCTTAAATCCTCTTTTATATAATCAAAACTATAAATTAAAACCATTGAAGAAATAAAAAGAACAAAACTTATAAATAATAATGATATTCAATCAAATATAAATAATATATAAATATCAACTGAATTCAAAGAAATAATATTTCATTCTAATATATAAATATATTTATTTATTAAAAAAAATAAACTAACAAAAAATATAACTATTCCAATAAAAAAAAAAAAAAATCTTACAAGTAATCTGATAATAACTTAGAATATATTATATATCAATGACACCACAAATCATTATTTTAATTTAAACTATCTAAGTTGCTAATAGAAAATATCAATTTTCAAAATTATTAAATTTAAAGGAATTAAATGTATTAAAATTAAAAAAAACTCTCGAACTGAAAATCTAGTAAATCTATATAAAAATAAACTTTTACCATAACAAACATATGAATATAAATATAATGAATAACATCTTCTAAAAAATAAAAATAACATTAAAATAATAACTAAAAATTTTGTTAACCTAAGTAATCTTATTAATAAAAAAATTTCACTAATTAAATTTAAACTCGGAGGAGCTGATATATTACCTATACATAACAAAAATCATATTATTATTATTGGAGAACAATAAGATAATATACCTTTATTAATAATTAATCTTCGTCTTAAGGATCGCTCATAAAATATATTAACTAAACAAAATAATCCAGAAGAACACAATCCATGAGAAATTATTATTAAAAAAGCTCCTTGTACCCCAATAATCTCTAAAGAAAATAAGCCTCCAATTACTAACCCTATATGAACAACAGAAGAATAAGCAACTAAGGATTTTATATCAACCTGACGTAAACAAACTAAACTTAAATAAATTGAACCAACCAATCTAAATACTAAAATACTTATTATATAATTTGATATTAAATTTTCTCTAATAAATATTAATCGATAAATCCCATATCCCCCTAATTTAAGTATAACCCCAGCTAAAATTATTGACCCAGAAACTGGAGCTTCCACATGAGCTTTAGGTAACCAACCATGTAAACTAAATATAGGAATTTTAACAAAAAAAATTATCATAACAAAATTATATAAAAAAGAATCAAAATTTAATTTTTTAATATTAAGATATTCAATATCTAATGAATATGATATATGATATATATAAAATATTATTAATAAAAATGGTAATGAAAAAACTAAAGTGTATAATATTATGTATATTCCTGCTTCAATACGCTCAATCTGATACCCTCAACCCAAAATTAAAAATAACGTAGGAATTAATCTAGCTTCAAATATAATATAAAATATTAATAAATTTAATACCCTAAAAGATATAACTAAAAAAAATAATATGAATATTAAATTCACAACAAATAAAAATAAAAAATTTTTATATTTAACTACCTTTAACCTTGCTAATATTATTAGTAAAATAATCCAAATAGATAAATTAATTATTCAAAATGAAAAAAAATCCAAACCAAAATCATAATAAATTGCATAAAAGTCTATTATATTTAATTTAATATATCTATAATTAACAATAAAAAAAATTAATAATATAATTATCATATTTTGAAACAAAATATTTAATATATTATTTTTATTAATAATTAAAAATAATAATTTAATCAATAAAATAATTAAAATATATTTTATCATTTCAATACTCTTAAAGAACTTAAATAATCATTTCCTTCACTTCGTATAATAATAATTATGATAGTAAGTCCTATTACACTTTCATTTACCGAAAAAATTAAATAATATAAAGAAACAAATTGATTAACATTAAGTATTCTAAAATACATAAATAACACATAAAACATTATAATAACAAAAAATTCTAGTCTTATTAAAATTAATAAAATATGTTTATTAAATTTAATAAAAATTATTAAAATAATAATTAATAAAATTAATCTATAAAATCAAGAAAATGTTAACATTTAATTACTATATAGTTTAAACTAATAAAACATTAATCTTGTAAATTAAAATTAAATCAAAATACACGATTTTATAGTAATCAAAATAGTAAAAATTTTACATCATTAATCTCCAAAATTAATATTTTAATAAACTATATCTTGATAAAATGTCAATATATTTATATTCAAACTTTCTAAATTTCAAAGAAATATCATTTAATTTTTTATTAATTTTATCATCTATCATATTAATTTTATTAATCTTAATAATTAAATCTATTCACCCTATTGAAATAATAATTTATTTAATTATATTTTCTATTATTATATGTTTAAAAACTAGATTATTATATAAAAATTTTTGATTCTCTTATATACTTTTTCTTACAATAATTGGTGGAATTTTAGTATTATTTTTATACTTTGTAAGAACAGCATCAAATGAGAAATATCAATTAAATGATAATCTTAACATTAAATTTTTAACAATTATAATCTCAATCTCTTTTATTTTAATATTTATTATATATGTATTTGATTATTTTTCAATTAACATAATTGAGCTCAATATAAATCATAATTTAATTATTAAAATAAATAATTGATCTAATAGCAATAGATACAATATACATCAAATATTTAATAATAACTATAAAGTTACTTTAATAACAATAATTTATTTATTATTTACATTATTTTCTGTAATAAAAATATGTATAAAAATATACGGCCCATTACGTCAACACATTTAATGTTAAAAAATATAATTAAACATAACCCAATTATTAAAATTACATATAATAGTATTATTAAATTACCAACACCATTAAATATCTCTATTTGATGAAACTTTGGATCACTATTAGGATTATGTCTACTAATTCAAATTATTTCAGGCCTATTTTTATCTATACATTATTGTCCTAACATCAATTTCGCCTTTAATAGAATTATCCATATTTGTCGAGACGTAAATTATGGTTGATTAATACGATTAATTCATATAAATGGAGCATCTTTTTTTTTTATTTGTTTATATACTCATATAGGACGAGGTTTATATTATATATCCTATAAATTTAATAAAGTATGAAACATTGGTATTATTATCCTTTTTATAACTATAGCTACTGCATTTTTAGGATATGTCCTGCCATGAGGACAAATATCTTTTTGAGGAGCTACAGTAATTACAAATTTAATCTCTGCAATTCCATACTTAGGAGAATCAATTGTTTTATGAATCTGAGGAAGATTCTCAGTTGATAACTCAACATTAAATCGATTCTATTCTTTACATTTTATTATACCTTTTATTATCTTAGCAATAGTTATTATTCATTTAACATTTCTACACCTAACTGGATCAAATAATCCTTTAGGAACAAACAGAAATTTATATAAAATTTCATTCCACCCATATTTTACAATTAAAGATTCATTAGGATTTATTACTTTAATTTTTATTATATTAATATTAATTATAATCAACCCTTATATAATAGGAGATCCTGAAAATTTTTCACCAGCCAACCCATTTGTTACCCCAATTCACATTCAACCAGAATGATATTTTTTATTTGCTTATGCTATTCTTCGATCTATCCCTAATAAATTAGGAGGTGTAATTGCATTATTCTTATCAATTAGAATTTATTTTATTATGCCAATAATTAAAAATAATTTTATATTTACATCAAAATTTTACCCAATAAATCAAATTATATTTTGATCAATAATTAATATTTTTTTACTACTAACTTGATTAGGAGCTCAACCAGTAGAATCTCCTTTTATTTTAATATCACAAATTATAACAATTCTATATTTCATATATTTTATTATTTTACCTTTAATCATAAAATTATGAGATACAATTATTTTTAAAAAATAAAATCTAAGTTAATGAACTTGAATAAGTATATGTTTTGAAAACATAAAATAGTATTTAAAATATACTATTAACTTTAACTTATTATTTTTTTTAAAAAATAATTACATAAATTAAAAATTTTACTCCTAAAATAAAAATTAAATAAGTTAAAATAAAAGGAAGAAATTTTTTTCATGCTAATCCTATTAACATATCATATCGAAACCGTGGGTATGTCCCACGAATTAAAATAATTAATCTAAAAGATAATATAATAAATAAATAAGAACAAATATTAAATCATAAAACCCCCATAAATATCAATATTCATATTATTCTAAAAAATAAAATTATAGAATACTCAGCTAAAAATAAAAAAGCAAACATTCCTCTTGCATATTCAATATTAAATCCCGAAACTAATTCAGATTCTCCTTCAACAAAATCAAATGGAGACCGATTTAATTCAGCAATTGAACTTACTATAAATATAAAAAATAAAGGAATTAAATATAATAATATAGGTAAATTAAATTGATAAATTATTAAATCATAAAAATTAAAACTATCAATTAAAAAAATAAAAATAATTAAAATTATTGCTAGCCTTACTTCATAAGAAATAGTCTGAGCAACAGAACGTAAAGACCCCAACAATGAGTAAACTGAATTCGAAGATCACCCCGAATATATAGTAAAATAAACTCTAATACTTAAAATTCTTAATAAAAATAAAACCCCTAAATTTAACTCTCAAATATTAAATATAAATGGTATCAAAACTCAAATAAATAAACTTAATATTAATATAAATATAGGAGAAATCAAATAAATATAATAATTAAAATTATATCTTAAAAGATACTCCTTAGAAAATAATTTAATTGCATCATTAAATGGTTGAAGAATTCCTAAAAAACCTATTTTATTAGGACCTTTACGTTCTTGCACATACCCAAGAACTTTTCGTTCATATAAAGTTAAAAAAGCTACACCAATTAAAACATTAATTAATAAAATTAAATATCTCAATAATATTAAAAAAAAATTTATTAACATTTACATTTATTATTATCTAAAAATTTTTCATTTTCATATTTAAATTCTAAATTTAACGCACTAGTCTGCCAAGATAATAATTAAAATTTTACTGTTATTCAATAACCATAAAATATTTATAATATTAAGTCCTTTCGTACAAAAATATTATTAATTAATTAAGGATAGAATCCGATCTGGCTCACGCCGATCTGAACTCAAATCATGTAAGAATTTAAAGGTCGAACAGACCTATTATTTAAGTATCTCCACCTAAACATTATCTTAATTCAACATCGAGGTCGCAAACTTATTTATTAATATGATCTCTCCAAATAAATTACGCTGTTATCCCTAAGGTATTTTAATTTAACAATCTAAAATTAAGGATCAATTATAATAATAAAATAATATAAATAATTTATATATTAAAATTTCATAAATTAATGTTCAATTAAATTAAAAGTTAATTTAATTTTAATGTCACCCCAACAAAATAATTAAAAATTTAATTAATTAATAAATTAAATTAAAACTATAAATTTAATTATAAAAATCTATAGGGTCTTCTCGTCCTATAATAAAATTTAAACTTTTTAATTTAAAAATTAAATTTTAATTAAAATAATTATGAGACAATAAATATCTTATTCAATCATTCATACAAGCTTTCAATTAAAAAACTAATGATTATGCTACCTTTGCACGGTCAGAATACCGCGGCCATTTAAAATTATTTCAGTGGGCAGATTAGACTTTAAATTAAAATCAAAAAGACATGTTTTTGTTAAACAGGTAAATATTAAATTTGTCTAGTTCCTTATAATTAATTTTAAAAATTAAAATTAATAAAAACATAAATTATAAATATAATAATTTTATCATTATTAATTTTAAAAATTTATTAATTAAAATATTTTTATAAAAAATTAAAATAAAAAAAATTATTTTTAATAAAATTAATAATAAATTATTACAAACTTTAAATAAAAACCATTTTTAAATCTATAATTTATTAAATATAAATAATATTTTTATTTTTAAATTAAAATTTAAAGCTAATCCCTTAAACTCTTTTTATTAAGTAAATATCTTAAATAAATATTATTTAACTAACAAACTTAATAAATAAATTAAATTTATTTCTAAAAAAACTAGATATCTTAATTATTGACTAGAATTTCTCCCCTAATATACTATTATAAATAATAATTAAACATTAAATTAAATAATATATTAACTCTAATTAATTCGAGAAAATTATTAATAAATAATATTTAATTAATAAACCCTGATACAAAAGGTACAAAAAATTAATTTTACTTTGTTAATTAAATATTTTTAAAATTAATTCATAAATCACTTACATTTTATAATATAATTATTATTTATAATTTTAATACTAAAACAATTAAAATAATTAATATAACTTTAAATAAAAATATTTATTTTCAAAAATTAATTAAATTAATAATTAAATCTAATTCAAATCTATAAAATATTTTATATCAATTCAATGTAAATGAATAATTTTAATTAAACTAAAATTTGAAATTTTAATTCTAAAAACACTTTCCAGTACTTTTACTTTGTTACGACTTATCTCATTTTATAATGAGAGCGACGGGCGATATGTACATAATTCAAAACAAATCTCAAATTAAATAATCATTTAATTTTACTTTTAAATCCCCCTTAATTTAAATATTAATACTTAAAATCCGTATAAATATATTTTATTGTAACTCATTTTAACCTAAATAAATAGCTGCACCTTGATCTGAATTTATATAAAAATAAAAATTATATTTTAAAAATTATTTATTCTTTAAAAATTTTTTTAAAACGACGATATACAAACAAAATAAATTAGGTAATTATTATCGTGGATTATCAATTAAAAAACAAGTTCCTCTAAATTGAATGAATTACCGTCAAATTCTTAAAGTTTCAAGAACATACCTAATACTACCTAATTAAAAATAAATTAAAATAAAAATTTATATAAAATAATAATTTTCTAAACTAAAAACAAATTTACAATTAAAATAATAGGGTATCTAATCCTAGTCTCGAAGCGCATTTCCAAAAAATATTACAGAGTACTTATAAATTTTTAATACATAAAATTCGGAAACGTTCACCGGGATTTAAGTCTAGCCCTCAGAAAATTACCGCATAATTAATGTCTCTGAAACTTAACGGATTCACTTAGGCGACTTGGCGAACCGCGAATGCGGGCACCAGTTTTTTCCATCTTAAATAAATATAATTCTATAAAAAAATCTACTTTTATTTAAATACAATTTTATATACTAAATAATTATATCATCTTTATTTAAAAAATAATAATATTATATTAAAAATTTATATATTAAATAAAATTTATAATAAATTTCAAAGTTAGAATTAAACTTTCTTTAAAAAAATTAAAATAAATTATTAAATATATTAATTAATAATATTAATACAAAAAATATAGAAAGTAACTATATATAATTTTTATATTTTATATAAAATACTGAATTTTTTTACTCAAAATCAAAAGATTAATTTTAAAAATAAAAGATAAGCTAATAAAGCTTAAAGACTCATAATCTTTATATAGAAATTTCAATTTTCTTCTTTTTATATATTATATATATATATATATATTAATATAAATAATAATATTTTTTAATAAAAAATTCTCACTCTTTTTATCTCTAAAATGAGTAAAATAATTCTTACTATTTTTTAAATTTTAAAAATACACATATAATTTTATTATATTAAATATAATAATAATAATAATTTTAATAAAATATGTGATTTTTTATTAACTCTTTAATTATTATTTTAATAACAATAATTTATTTTAAATTAATTAAATATATTTAACATAAATATTAAATATTATTAATTTTAATATAAAAAATTATAATAGTATTATTTTATAATAAACAGTAAAAAATTTTACCCTTAAAATCTTTAATTTTATTAAATAAAAATTCTTCCTTTTTTATCAATAAAATAAATAAAATTAACTCTTCCTATTATTCAAATTTTAAAAATATAAATAAAATAAATTTTATATTAAATATAATAATAATTTTAATAAAATATGTAATTTTTTATTAATTATTTAATTATTATTTTAATAACAATAATTTATTTTAAATTAATTAAATATATTTGACATAAATATTAAATATTATTAATTTTAATATAAAAAATTATAATAGTATTATTTTATAATAAACAATAAAAAATTTTACCCTTAAAATCTTTAATTTTATTAAATAAAAATTCTTCCTTTTTTATCAATAAAATAAATAAAATTAACTCTTCCTATTATTCAAATTTTAAAAATATAAATAAAATAAATTTTATATTAAATATAATAATAATTGTAATAAAATATGTAATTAGTTATCAATTATTTAATTATTATTTTAATAACAATAATTTATTTTAAATTAATTAAATATATTTGACATAAATGGCAAAGATTATTAGATTTAATATAAACAATTATAATAGTATTATTTTATAATAAACAATAAAAAATTTTACCCTTAAAATCTTTAATTTTATTAAATAAAAATTCTTCCTTTTTTATCAATAAAATAAATAAAATTAACTCTTCCTATTAATTTTTTAATTCAAATTTTAAAAATATAAATAAAATAAATTTTATATTAAATATAATAATAAAAATTTATATTAGTAAACATAAATTATAACTAATATATTATAATATATTACTATAAAAATATTCAAATTTTTAGTAAATAAAATTGACTTAGTTTTTTTGATAAAATTTTTTCTATAATTATTTAAATTTATAAATTAATTTAATTAAATTATAAATAAAAATCAATCTAATTTTTTTTTTTTTTTTAATAAATATTTAATTATCATTAATAATTTATAAATAATATATATATAAATAATTATTTATTAATATATAAATATTTTAATTAATTATTAATTAATCTATTTAATGTTTAATATATTTATTTATTAATATATAAATATTTTATTATTATTTTTTAATCTATTTCAATTAGACAATTATATATTTAATTAAATAATCTGTATTTTATTAATTATATAAGATTAATCTCTATATATATAAATATTAATATTAATTAATAAATATTTATATTATATATAAAATTTCCTTATATTTAATAAGGGGTAAGTATTTATTATTTAAATATCAAGTTTAATTATTAATAAATTATTTAATACATATTGATTAATTTATTTCATTATATAAATATGTATTTATTAATATATAAATATTTTATATATCTTTTTCCATATTAAGGGGTATGTATTTATTGGTTAAAATTTAATTTTAATAATAAATAAATATTTTATTTATATTAATTAATTTATATATATATATTAATTTTTTATTATATTAATATAAATATTTTATTTATTAATAATTTTAATTCTATTAATTAGTTAATAATAATATGAGGTAAGTATAGAATAATTAATATATTTAATATATAATATATAATTATTTAATTATATATAAATATTTTATTTTATTTTCAAATTTAAAAAATTAAATTAATTATATTAAATCTATAATTTAAATATAGTAAAATATATTATTATTAATAATAATAGCGTATTACTAATAATTATTTTTATACCATAAATATATAAATAAATATTTTAAATTTAAATTTTTATTTTTTCCAAAATAAAAAAAAAAATAAGTTTATTTAAAATAATTTTTAAATTATAATAATTCTTCCTTATAAATAACTAGCTTATTTATAATATTATAATTTTTAAAATTCTAAAATTTTTATAAAAATAACAATTAAAAATAAAATTCTCTTTAAAATTAAAAATAAGTTTATTTTTAAACTTATCTTAAATTTTATTATAAAATATTAATATAATTTTTTTATAAAATTTAATTTTATATTCATTTTCTCATTATATAATTAAAATATATATTCAATTAACACAATAATATTAAACTATCTCAATTATTTTAAATTAAACATTAATTTCAAATTAACTAAAAATTATCCCATCATTTCAATAAATTCTTATTCTAGCTAAATTTTAACTTTTAGCTCAAAAACCCATTCATCAATTCCTGAGTATTTTGGTTAAAAATTTAATTTCATTAACTTCTTATTTTAGCTAAATTTTAAATTTTAACTCAAAAACCCATTCATCAATTCCTGAATATTTTGATTAAAAAATTTAATTTCATTAATTTCTTATTTTAACTAAATTTTAACTTTTAGCTCAAAAACCCATTCATCAATTCCTGAGTATTTTGATTAAAAAATTTAATTTCATTAACTTCTTATTTTAGCTAAATTTTAAATTTTAGCTCAAAAACCCATTCATCAATTCCTGAATATTTTGGTTAAAAAATTTAATTTCATTAACTTCTTATTTTAACTAAATTTTAAATTTTAACTCAAAAACCCATTCATCAATTCCTGAGTATTTTGGTTAAAAAATTTAATTTCATTAACTTCTTATTTTAGCTAAATTTTAAATTTTAACTCAAAAACCCATTCATCAATTCCTGAGTATTTTGGTTAAAAAATTTAATTTCATTAACTTCTTATTTTAGCTAAATTTTAAATTTTAACTCAAAAACCCATTCATCAATTCCTGAGTATTTTGGTGAAAAAATTTAATTTCATTAACTTCTTATTTTAGCTAAATTTTAAATTTTAACTCAAAAACCCATTCATCAATTCCTGAATATTTTGATTAAAAAAATTTAATTTAATTAACTTCTTATTTTASCTAAATTTTAAMTTTTAGCTCAAAAACCCATTCATCAATTCCTGAATATTTTGGTTTAAAAATTTAATTTCATTAACTTCTTATTTTAGTTAAATTTTAAATTTTAGCTCAAAAACCCATTCATCAATTCCTGAATATTTTGGTTTAAAAATTTAATTTCATTAACTTCTTATTTTAGTTAAATTTTAAATTTTAACTCAAAAACCCATTCATCAATTCCTGAATATTTTGGTTAAAAAATTTAATTTCATTAACTTCTTATTTTAACTAAATTTTAAATTTTAGCTCAAAAACCCATTCATCAATTCCTGAGTATTTTGGTTAAAAAATTTAATTTCATTAACTTCTTATTTTAGCTAAATTTTAAATTTTAACTCAAAAACCCATTCATCAATTCCTGAGTATTTTGATTAAAAAATTTAATTTCATTAACTTCTTATTTTAATTAAATTTTAAATTTTAGCTCAAAAACCCATTCATCAATTCCTGAATATTTTGGTTAAAAAATTTAATTTCATTAACTTCTTATTTTAGCTAAATTTTAAATTTTAGCTCAAAAACCCATTCATCAATTCCTGAATATTTTGGTTAAAAAATTTAATTTCATTAACTTCTTATTTTAGTTAAATTTTAAATTTTAGTTCAAAAATCCATTCATCAATTCCTGAATATTTTGGTTAAAAAATTTAATTTTAATTTTTATTAAATAATAAGAAATTA